AATGTATTCTTTACTAGTAAAGACGAAGTATGTATCTTAGATATGTTCGTAAACTTGATTCTGATTCTGATGTTTAAAGTGGACCTATCATGCTATATTTGAATAACATAGTGTAAGACCATACCTATATAAGGCATATTTATACTTTTTATTTTTCAAAATACCAAACAGATCATGCATTTTAGCCATTCCTCATTTCGCTCAATTTAACACTGTCTTTGCATGGGCTGATTCTGTGAGAACAGCACCATCTACAGGCCTGGCATATGTACTACAGCGTCTCCAGCGCTTTCGAACGGCAATGTCCGTGGCTGTCTCCTCCTGATTGGTGGAGTTGGCCCTATAGCCGTAGCGCCACTTCTGTGACGTCACAGAAGTGTTCAAATCTGGATCAGTCTGTATCAGATCCGTTGCAGCCCCTATTTAAGAGATTTGGGTATGGAGGAAAATAGAGAGGGGTTGTGTTTTCTTACACTTGGTGAGTTCCCTGGAACACCGGGGACACATATTCATGTATAAAAGACGTACAAAAGTGCATTTTGCATGATAGGTCACCTTTAAGTTAAGGCAAAATACAAAACAGTGTTAATCCAACAACATCTGCTGATCCCATACATGTGATCCACAGAGCCGACCTTTGACCCCTCCATCGCTAACTGTGACTTTGAGTCTGGTTTCTGCCGCTACTCCCAGGAGCAGATGATCGGGTCGTCGTGGAGGAGAGTGTCTGTGAAGCCCAACATATTTAGGAACGGAGACCACACCACAGGGGCAGGTGGGCTACAATGAATAATAGTCTATTTAAGTTTAGGGGGCGCTATAGAGCCATTTTGCGTGCGCCGATTATGAAACCCCCAAAATATCAAATTTTTCTGAGGGTTTGGAGAAAGAAGCAGGAGCGTTTACTAGATCTCTGAAGTCCATCCTTATCTCTGCTTAAGGATAGCAGTCCCTGACTACATCAACCTTTACTAGCATAACACTAAAATCTGTACAGTCAAGTTAATCCAGTGGAGTTTGATTGTGGGTATTGTGGTCAACTTGTTTGCTTCACAAAGCTTTTAGCCCTATTTAGCTTATTGTTTTTGCCATTTTTACTATCTGGTTGTTGGTAAATGTTGCCACCAGAAGCAGTTGCTTTTTAAAATTTAAATTGCTAATATGTTAGCGATTACCATTTTATTAGTGGTGGTTGCTTTGTATAGATTTAGTAGTAAAGAAAATCGGATGACACAGCTTTAAAAGCCAAAGGGTGATAATGTGGTACATCCAATCTGGATTTGAGGGTTAAAACAATTTGAAAACTGTTGAATTCAAGATCAGTAACAGGTGGCAGTAGTGACAGGAACACTCATGGCATGGACTCAGAGGAAGAGACCGTTTTGAAGGGAAATAAAGGCTCTCTTCTCCTTCAAGGATATTTCCTGTTGGCTCACTCCTGGCTGAGCCCTCTCTCTGGTTACGTTAGTCGCCTGATCGGTCCAACTCTGCCCGGGAACATGAAGTACTGCCTGAGATTCTACTTCTCCCTGAGGGGTGAGTGGCACCCCAAAAACTCTCCGGATGAAAGAACATTTCCATCATGTTATCGCTGTCTGTGATTGTTTGATTGTAAATGCTGTGATTTATTTGACTGACTCACCGACCAAAAATAACTCTGGCAACTGCAGGTTTCAACCAGACGGACCAGGCTCTGGCTGTGTATCTGCAGCAGGGCAGCAGCCAGGAGAGGATCTGGACTCAGGGCGAGAAGTCCAGAGGAATCTGGATCACAACGGACGTCACCTTCCAGACATCAAAGCCTGCCAAGGTCAGAAGAGAGGAAGAGGAAATATCAAAGGCAGAAAACAGTAGAGAATAAGCGTGAAAGGGAAAGAGGGAAGGATCAAAAAGGAAGTAAGTGAGGGGAGGAGAGAAAGAGGGAGACAGTGAGCCAAATAATTAATGAATAAAGGACGGGAGGAAGGGACACAGGAAATAATAAACAAACAAGAAGGGCATTCAAAAAGTGCAGACCTCCGCAAGGGCAGAGAGCACAGAGCTTTGCTAAGGCCTTTACCATGAACAAAAAGTAATGCTCCAGGAAGCAGATCCGCTCCAGAATGTAATGAGTTCTTCCTTGGCTCAGGATTCACCTTTCCACCAAGTTTCATTGACATTGGGCCAGTCGTGTTTTTCTAAGCCTGCCCTATGAAAGACAAGCAGACCACAAACCAAACTGAAGACATCCCCTCATTGGTGATTCGTGACAATAGAACAAATTATCACTTTCTAATTTTTAATCTTAAACAATAGTGTTGTCCTTTACGGAGCCCTGAGGGGACAACAAGCCTGTTCTCACTTTCTGCTCTTGTGTTGGAGCCTTTTACAGTTCAGCTTTTTGATGCATCTGATTTATTTAAGTACTGTGTTTGTTCATGTGCATGATGAGAAGGAATTCATCCAGATGACTAAATGCTCAAAGGATTTCCCACACTGGCCTTTTCTTCCTTTCTGAACACATTGAACCGATTTAAAGATTCCAATTGAGGATTTTTTCTTCCCCATGAGGAAGTCTCACGCAAGGCAGAAACAAACAGAACGTGTATGTAATGACTTGTTTGTAGTTTCTGTTTTTTCTCCAGAGATGTCAGTGTAAATGAGCGATGGTTTTGACCCTCTGATGGCGGAGCTGCTCACTGCTTTCCTCTGCTGTTCAGGTGGTGTTCGTCAGCACTTGCAAGAGCTTCTGGGACTGCGGCTCCGTGGCTTTGGACGACATCAGCCTGAGCCTCGGAGACTGTGAGCTGACAGAAGGTACAAACTGCAACAACAAAAACAAATCATAGCGTGCTCATACACATCTCTATTTACCCTGTTCAAAAATCCATTCCCCATTTTTAATTGCAGTCAGATGACATCAAAATACTCCCAAAACAATAGGCACACATGCTGTTAAGCTAAACGCAGCAATGAGAAAACGAGTTCCAGTCCGCGAGTCATGGCTGCATTATTACCACCAAAAATCTAAATTCAATGGGTTTTGATGATTTCCTCAATTTCAGGATCCTTTTTGTATTTGGTCCCCTACTGTCACTACTGTCACATCAGAGCCCAGGGTGCTCTGATTGGTTAGCTGGCCGGCTCTTTTGTGATTATTCAACCGCTTAGAGATGTCCCGCCCCTTAGCCTATCAGAGAAGAAGCACAATTGTTACACAGTGATGTGATGTTATTATGATACAAAAGTAGTCCAATGGAGGCATTTCAGGCAGGAGGGGGGGGGAAACTGATATCCAGACCTCCACCAGGGGTCTCTATCTTCCCTCTCCAACAAAGAAGGTATGAATCACCCCAAGTTATGCCTCACAGCTCCCTGTCAGTCCAACCACTAGGACACACACCTTGTGGGTCAGAAGGGGTCAAAAACAAAAAAGTCTAATTTACAAAGAATACTATAACAAAGAAACGAAGGGCCATGTGACTTGTGCTCCTTATTTGTTTTGGTCCCTGATGTCTGCCGACACAGTTAGTTCATAGTTTTGTTTTAAAGGCAACTATCAAATACAAGTGTTACAGAATTTTTTTTTGTGTGTTTTCATGTTGCTGTTGCAGGCTCTGCGTTGCCGACTCTGACCGGACACTGTGACTTTGAGGCGGGCCTGTGTGGCTACACTCAGGACAAGCAGAGTGACAGTGGAGACTGGGAGTTGAGACGAGGACCCACCCCTACCTCCTACACCGGGCCGAGAGCAGACCACAGCACGGGATTCGGTCAGGGTCCCACGCTTAACGCTCCTACCAAATCCACAATATTCTGCACGCTCTAAAGCAGGGGTGTCCAAACTACGGCCCGGGGAACCAAATGCGGCCCGCGGCCCATTTTGAATCGGCCCTCAGCTAATTCCAAAAGTATATTGAAATATGGACGCAAAATGAAACTTGTGCTTGTCATATACTGTACTTCTTAAATATATTTGTACAAATATATTACACGGTATTCATGTGTTAAAAGGTCAATTAAAGTTGGAAACATTTTCAAACAAATCTTAGTTGATACAAAATAATAACCCAATAACTTAATTACATAACAAGCATGAAATACACCCTTCATATTTTCTCTTTTTATAAGCAATATGAGGCTTGTTTTTTTTTTACTTATAACTAAACTGACAATGCAATATACCTCACCTCTATCTTTGTATGTATGTGACCCTCAGTGAAGAAAGTTTGGACACCCCTGCTCTAAAAGAACAAGAGAAAGTTACACAGTAACACAGCTTGAGTAACTGTCTGCGTTGAACCCGTTGACCTTTAATTGACAGGATACTACCTGCACATGGAGGCGTCGCCCATGCTGTCGGGTCAGAGCGTGCGGCTGCTCTCTCGACCCCTGAGAGGCTCCAGGGGGCCTCAGTGTTTGAGCTTCTACTACCACATGTACGGCTCAGGCACGGGTCAGCTCAGCGTTCACCTCCATAAGGATGGAGAGGATGCGTTGCTGTGGAAACTGAGCGGAGAGCAGAGCGTTGCCTGGCTGAGGGCCACGGTGGAGTACAGGAGCAATATCCAGCATCAGGCAAGAAACCTCTGAGGGCTGTTTGTATTTAAAGTCTGTGCGCTGGACATGGATATTGTTAGAAAAATATCACTCAGGATGCAGTTCAATACCAGTTCAAAGCAGTATGTTTAGATTAGCTAAGAGTAAGACCCACGTTAGAAATTATCATGCTTGTCATATCTATCTCCATAGAGGCTGAATCATCTTGTTAATCACTTACTGTATCATAGGCCTAAAACAGTCCCGATGCTCTTCTAGGTAATCATACATCCTGTCATGTACACAGCTACAGTTGGGATACCTTTGTTATCATGTGCTACTCTGATATTGGAAGAGTACATTCAGTATTTTCCCAACAGATATGATCAGCCTATTAAACACAATACATTATAGGATTCCTAACCTTTTGGGTTGTTTTGCATATGAGTTAAGGCTGATTTTCAGGAGGTTTGACTGTAAATAAGGAAGATAAAATACATATCCAGCAGCTACAACAGTAGAATGCAGCCTAAACATTGCAGCAGTGCACCCTAATTGTGTCATATACAAAGATATATCAGTCACACGGGCCATATTCTGCAGAAACAGTATTTTTAATACTTTTTGCTTTATAGCTCTGTACTTCTCTCTCTGTTCCAGATTGTGTTTGAAGCCACAAGGGGTTCATCCGTAAGGAGTGACATTGCCATTGATGACATTACCTTAGAGAGCGGACCTTGCCCAGGTAAAACATCTACAGTATTGAATGTTGAACACATGGTTTAAGATTAAACATCAAAAAAGAAAATGAACAGAGAATTACCTGATTTACTTCTGTTCCCCTGCAGTAACGAAGATAGAAGCCCCCGTGGGAAGCTCCAATGAAATCGAGTAGGAGGAAGATCAGCTGCGTACGATGCATGAACCCACCCCGTGTTTTTTATGTGCACATTACAGACTCCTGACTCCTGCGTGTCAATCAGAACATTTAGTAGTGCGGGTAAAAGGAAACTTTTCATGTAGTTCCGTTTTGTTGAAGCATCACCAATCAGGTGTATAATAGTCCGCATTGCTCTCTGCACTGTAGCAACAGAGTAAGTTTAACTGTGTTTTTTTTACATGTATATGCATTAGATTAATGCTCAATGCCAAATAAAGCGAGAAGGTTAAAAAAAAAAAACGTTGGTATGTGTTTTTACTGGTTGATGTTGAATTGAATACCTCTTTTCACTGTCACCTTGTGGGAATGCAGCTTAGGATCTTCCAATTCATTAATGAATAACGAACTGACTAAGGACAACATTTTTGGATCATTACTGAAACCCAAGTGGAAACATTTCCAACATGTCCCTAGTTGGACCACATAACTGTAAGGACTATGACACAGAATATACAATAACAAATAATACTAAATATACTCAAAAGCACTCAAATCTCTGCCACTGCTGATGTGATATTGGAAAAATACAAACCGCAAATATCGTAAACTTCCACAAAATCCTTGCGAGTTGCAATATCAGGCAAGTATGGCAGGATCAGATCAGCTGCTCATCAGTTGCCCCATCAAGCAGTCAGAAGCAAGTCGTGACATGTTATATGTTTTTCAAAAAATCTCTCATCCCCAAAGCCAAGAGATCTTTATGAAAGAGTCATAAATGTGCTCAGAAAATACGAGGCTGATGGGTCCAGTAGTAAAAAGTGAGCATGCACCAACATCGAGGAGCTAACGTCATTAGTAAGGAGTCAGACGGATTATCTGTAGTGTAGTTAAGTGTGCTTTACCAAAACATGGCTGCAGCTTTAGGTCTGACCTGCACCAGGATCTAACAGCAATGTTTCCATCGATGGCTTGCACCATGTCTTCACCATGTCCTCGGAGGGTTTCTGTGCTGTGGAGGACATCCTGTCTTGTTCCTGTGCTTTAGACACTGTGTCCCTGGGGCTACAAGGACTTGTATTGCACATTTATACTTCAATTGTTTATATAAATATGTTTTTATTGTAAGTACTTCGATTGATTGATTGATTCTTTCTGAGAGTAGCTGTGGACAGATATCCGACAGAGATAACAGAAAAAGAAAAAAAAGCTAGTGTTAGTTCAACGTTGGTTTAAATTGCAGATGAAGCAAAGTTTGCTTTTTCACTGATTGGTAAGGGATAATATGCAGCAAGCCAATATATTCAGATTTATTCAAACCACATTCATACATTTACTGTACATCTCAATAAAAAACAGTGAATCCGAAAAAGTTTCATTTGGTCCAAAATATTTGCGTTACATTATAAGTGTCCCATCGTTCAGGTATTTAATGGACTCCATCTGCTGCGTCATCGCAAGAACTTCGTGAAATCCCGAGCTGAGTCCCGACATGTGCTGGAAGTACGCCTCCTTCTCCACCTGCACCGACAGATTGTTCACCCCGGCGTCTTTCAAAATGGCAGTCACCTGCCAATCACACAGACACAGAGCTATCAGAACTGACAATTGTGGGGGAAATTCCACACTTAATCCCCTTCTGGTAAGAAAAGAACATACAAGCTTAAACCAAAGTTGTGTTATTTAATAAAGAGTTATAGCATTTAACAGAATCAATCTTATTTCCAGCTGGAAGGACAGATAACCTGCGTGCTTAAGAAATCTGACCAAGTTACACAGAAACGCAATGACTTTATACAGGGAAGAGACACAGGAAGAGTATTCATTCAGCTCGGTCATTTACATTATAGCCGTGGGGGGCAGACAGAAGGGGAAGTATCGCATGTTAACTACAACCCTAACATCCATATGATAATTGCCTGACAGTGGTCAAGGCGACACCCTTCTGTCTGAGAAAATGTTGTAGTTAGGAAACATATATATATATATATTGAATTATCAGAGGTGGGAGTAAGTCCTACATATGCAAGTCATGAGCAAGTCCCAAGTCACTGTGGTGAGAGTCAAGCAAGTCAAGTCATTGCTCAGGTCAAGCAAGTCAAGTCATACAAAATTCTGATGAATAAGCCCAGTTTCCGCATCAGTTAAAAGACAGTGGTCACTGATCTTTATGCTGCAGACCCTGCATACCGCTGTTCTCTTCTTATAAGTTATTACCGTCATCGACAACATAATCCTTGAACCCAAACTTGACTATTTTTGGAGTAATGCTAGCCGCTGCCATGTTAACTGACCCTCCTGCCTTCTAGTGGGTTGCCAGGTTTGCGCGCATGGCGCTATAATCACCCAATCACGTTTTTCGAAAAAACTAAACGTAATATCTCACTACAAAAACAAATATTTAATTTTAAACAGTCAAGTCCTTTCAAGTCATCTATCTCAAGCTTAAGTCAAGTCTCAAGTCATGCATACCAAGTCAAAGTCAAGTCAAGTCTTTTATCAATGTTAGTCAAGCAAGTCTCAAGTCAAAAAATATGCGACTCGAGTCAAGTCATGTGACTCGAGTCCCCACCTCTGTGAATTATTATAAATTCCCATCATGAAAATTACAAATCATTTCTTAGCGATCTGCCTAAGGCCATGACGTGATTCTACAGTTTGTACCGACCTGCTGAACGATCCTCTGCTCCACCACGTCTGCCATGATCTGCAGGTGGATGGTCCCCGCCACCATGTTGGCCGAGTGCCTCCAGAAATGAGCGTCTCTGTACGACAACACTCCTTCTATCTTCTCGATCTGAAAAAACAACCAGGGAAATTAACACCAGGGAAACTGCTGAGGGGCTGGAAACATATTCACTTTTGCCAAGGCATTTGATAATGCTCAAGTACTTTCTTGAATCTCAATGCAAGTCTGTCATTTATGTCAGGAAATAGTCATTTGTTTCAGAGAAATGGAAAATGTAGATCACGTACAAACGGTCTATTTAACTTAAAGTCTTCACTGTTGTCTGATAAGTTAGTCCCATGTTCTGAGACAAATCCAAAAGCAATCCTAATACTATGCTAATTATATTAGCTCAATTACAATTGAACCATTGGTGGCTGAGGATAACGTGAAGTTAGTTCATACTTTGATCCAGGAGCTAAATTGTTGACATTATGGTAATGCTAGTAAGAGTGCTAACACCATTACAATAAGAATAGGAATAACCTTTATGGAAATAACATCTAACTTTACGTTCAAATGTAATGGCTAAAGTTTGCTAAGCCAAATGAATTCAACCACATCAGGTTAGTTAACAATCCTAAGAAGTCAACTCCTTTAATAATATAGATCACATGTGTCAAACTCAAGGCCCAGGGGCTAAATCAGGCCCTTGGTGGATTTCATTTCGGCCCGCAGGATAATTTCTAATTACTATTAGATCTGGCCCGCCGGTATATTGCACGCACACCTTCACTCAATCCTGAGGGTCTCCTCAGCTCAGAGCCTGAGCCCAAACATTGATGAACTTGCACCCAAGATGAGATGCCAAGTATCTGAACTAGCATCACAGAGCAGCACACTGAGTTTAATGGATGTTTCCTTCTGCACTTTCCTTCTTGAGACAACAGGGCATGTTTGTTTTTTCTTTGTGGGAAATAGTTTTTTTGAAGCTGTTGTTGGCCTGTGGAAAAATGTAATCATAAGAAATGACTCTGCAGATAGAGCCATAAGAAATGAATGCAAATGATTATTTAATGTTTCATGTTGTTTTTATAGGCAATAATTTAAGCTTTGCTAGTTCCAGGTTTAATATGTGCAATAAGTTCATTTCAATAAGTTATGCAATAAACATTAAACCAGTCCGGCCCTCCACTAGTACCGATATTTTATTTTGGCCCTCTGTGTATTTGAGTTTGACACCTCTGATATAGATAGATAACAGATTTGCCCCCAAAATCTGCACACTCCCCTATTTAACATACAGTTATTCTGATGTGCAGTGAAACCACTATCTGTGAAAGAAAACTGAGATAACTTAGTCCTCATCATGAGTGTTTCCTCACCTTCTCCAGCGCACTGGTCAGCTCCTTCTCATTCTCTTGGGGGATTCTCAGAAGAAGCACCTCGCAGGCGTCCTTCAGCAGAGGGATGACGCTGAGGAAGATGAGCACGGCGATGAAGAGCGAGCAGATTGGGTCCGCGATCAACCAGCCGAACTGACGGATGAGGATGGTGGAGATGATGACGCCCACGCTGCCCAATGTGTCAGCCAGGACGTGGAGGTAAACACCTGCAATGAAAAAACAAAAACAATGTATCTCGCTACATCTCCCTTCACAGTAAGGTCTTTTTTTAGTGCATCAATGAAACAATGCATCTGTTTTGTTTTTTTTAATGGGGTTTTTTCAAATGTATATGCATTAGATTAATGCTCAATGTCAAATAAAGCGAGATGGTTAAACACAAATACGTTGGCATTTGTTTTTACTGGTAAGTGTTGAATTGAATAGCTGATTTTACTGTCACCTAGTGGGAATGCATCTTAGGACCTTCCGATTAGTTAATGAATAAAGAACTGATATCATTTTGGGATCATTACTGAAACCCATGAGTGACCTATGGAAACATTTCCAACATGTCCCTAATCGGACCAAATAACTGTTAGGACTATGACACAGAAAGTACAATCAGAAAATAATTAGAAAAAGTGCACTCAATAGACTGCAAATCTCTGCCACTGCTGTGATCAACTGTGATTAACTAAATAAATGTATCTCGCTACATCTCACGTTACAGTAAGGTATTTTTTTTAGTGCATCAATTAAACAACGCACATCTGTTCTGTTATTTTTTTTGTATTTTATTTTGCATTTTTCGTTTTTTAATTAATTATTATTATTTTCTTAATTTTTTTCTTAAGTGTTTTTTGCTCTTTATCATGTGAAATGTATCAGGATGTGCAAGCGATACAATGCAGTGACCAATGTTCCAGTTCTTGTGAGAGTGGGGGGATTCTGTTAGTTTTCTTATAGGTAACAAAAGAGGGGTAGTAGTGCAACTTCCTGTAATAAGAAAACCAAAACCAGGAAATGTGAAAAATGGTTGTATTGTCTGTTAAATCTGCACTCCTTAAAACAAAAACAAAATACAGGCCGCAGCAGCTAACATTAGCCCCTCTTCACTCAAGCTGCTTAAAGTGCCTGTGACACGAACCCAACAACTGTTGTGCAATGAAATAGTGGGCTACTAGTAATCTCGAACCGTCAGTTTAAAAAAGAAAAAGCGATACCGTTCCGATAAATATCAATAATTTCGAACATCGCGGGAAAATTCCTTCGACTCATTTTGAGGTTTTGGGGGAAGCCGGAAGTGACGTCAATGCGGGAACGCTTCACTGTGCGGCGAGAGAGCCAAACACGGACAAAGTGTGTTGTCATGCGTAGAAATGGTGAATTACTGAGTTTAGGCACGTCAATAACGTTTTAATGAAGTTGATTACAGTATATTCATATATGTCAGTGCTTTCATGTCAATTCGGCGAACATAAACATACATGATCGTGGTGAAGATGATGATTAAATTAGGATTACAAATCGGTAGTGAGAGCTGCTGAATTTCCTCCCGTCGGATGTGATATAAAAACAAATTGATTATTTTTGTAAACTCAAGTGGATTAAACTACATTTATTAGTGCTTTCATGTCAATTCGGCGAACATAAACATACATGATCGTGGTGAAGATGATGATTAAATTAGGATTACAAATCGGTAGTGAGAGCTGCTGAATTTCCTCCCGTCGGATGTGATATAAAAACAAATTGATTATTTTTGTAAACTCAAGTGGATTAAACTACATTTATTAGTGCTTTCATGTCAATTCGGCGAACATATGATACATTAAATGATCGTGAGGATGATGATTTAAAAATCTTTTGTTTGAGCCGGTCTGCATTTCCTGATGAGAAAACAAACCTTA